CCCCCCCCCCCCTCCCCAACCACACTAAATTAATGCACGAGAGTTATCCGTCTGTGCACGAGGACGTTATCACAGTCTCCATCAAATACACATTCATCGGGGTGCTTGAGATATAGTCACTACAACAATAATATAATATGTGCACACAATAATAATAGTATATTGTTGTGTATGCCGATCGGGTGCACTGAGTGCACGGGCATTGTTACACTACAAGGACAGTGTTGCAATGCACGCGATGCAGTCTTTCTAAGAGCACAAGAAATAAGCAACATGCGGAGATCGTCCCAGTCTCAAGCGCAAGGTCGTCTTCCTTTTCTCAACGCATGGCATTAACATATTATTACTTGGTGTATTCATCTCTTATTTTCATTATTCCCCGATTTTTCATATTCTCTTATTTGACCTTTTCTTGTATTTGATGGAATTATGAATTGTCGACTTGAGCGTAAATAAGCACTTTACAGTCATGAAATGCGAGACCAGTTAATTCATTTTCCCGAAAGAAATTATAAAAGGAAAAGAAAGGGGGTTGGGGGAGTACTGAAAGAAAATCCCCCCCACCCCCACCCCTTCGCTCTCCCTTTCCCTCTCCCCCACTCCCCCTTCCCATTCCCCCTCCTCACCCCACACCCCCCTCGTCCGCCTGCCTTCCATCTTCCCCCCTTCAGCTTCCGTCCCCGACACACAATAAATATAAACACGAGCAGAACTTCGGAAAGGCATCAGCTGGCTGTGGACCTAGCAACCAAACTGAATGGGGCAGGGAAAATACCCTCGCGATGTAGCGGGGCGCAAAGGCTGTTAGGGGGCGATAGTGACGAAGACGAACAGAGGCGGCTAAAGGACAAGAATTGATTGGTCCAAGAGCAAAAAGGTGAAGGAGTTCTTGACTACTCACAGAGTCTTGACCACTCCGAAGTTGGCTGATCGGTCAACTGTTTACTGAGGGCGGCTGTAGCCCCTGGCTAAGATGACTTTCATGTGTCGACGTCCCGAGGTAAATTTGCTCAGGGACACGAAGCGATGGAGTTGGAGAATGAGCCGTGAGGTGGTGAGGTGGGGTGTGTGTGCCGCTCTATTGTAGCGAAACTGGCTTGTTGGCTGGTGGGGATGGGATGAGGGGGATAAGGAGTGGAGGTGCGTATGAGCGCGCGCGCGTGTGTGTGCGTGTGTGTGTGTGTGTGTGTGTGTG